AATCGATATCGATCGATGACGAAAAGTAGCCTATGACACCCGCCGGGGCCCGAAGTGTATGTGTGCCAAGTTTGGTCCCGATCGGTTCAGAAATGGAATTTTCTATTCGGAACATACGTACGGACAGACAGACATACATACAGACAGACAAACAGACATTCAGCTTTATATATAAGATTGAGATAAGTTTGTGCTGATCGAACTTTTCTTTTAAAAGTTATGATTTTTTGAGAAAAAAATACAGATCTTAAGAATTCTTAGGAAATTATTTTTCGGCTTTTTTTCCAAAAAATCATAAATTTTGAAAGAAGACCTCAATCAGCACAAACTTGACGCAGTTAGTAATAAAATGTAAGAAAACTTAGGATGATGAGTGTTCTGGATTTTATCGCACAATTTCCCGATTTTTAGAATTTTTGCTTAAAAATTCCGAATTTCGAATGATCTCGCTCTTTCATTTTTATCTCTGCAACCTGAGCATATTGGAAAGTATCCAGACAACTTTTAGAAACTACATGCTTTACGCTTTCTGATAAAATTTGAATTGCGCAAAATGGTCGTGAAGGAAAGAAATTATGATTTTTTGAAAATGGTGCGACAGAACTTTCGGTTCAACCTAATATTTTTTTGAAGGTTTTTATTAGATTGTCAAGAAAATAATATCGGTTTTTATTTGGTTGCTATGGCAGCGCAACCTGGCAAACCCAAAAGACGCAGGCACTGTTCAATGCAGCAAAGCAAGCTTTACAAAATAATATAGGTGCTTCCGCGCTAAGATTGTTTCACTTGAAGTTGAAATCAAAATCTAAGAAGTCCAAAAAGCCTAAGCAATCGGAAGCACTTGGATCTCTATCCAAACACTTTTTACTTACCTCTCACTTACACACATCTATACTATCGACACCAGACTTCATATACACAATTGCTGTATATATATATTCTGACTAAAAACGACAAGGGACGTCAGGTAACTCAGGATGCGTTTCGAGATGACTGTGTTTGAAATCAGCTTCGAATGCTGATTCCAATATGCTGTTTCTAGCTGCGGCGCATTATTCTGAGGAAAGTTATGAGCTTCTTTCTATGCAAAATTTCCAACTTTTCCATATGGTAAGGCTGCCTGTAGATGGAAATCTGCCTAAAGACGGTGCTGGGATACCAAATTAAATCGGATTGAGTCTTCTGTAATTGACGAGAGACTTTATGCAATCAATCAGCACTTAGGTGATGATACCGTAATGCCAGTAGGTCAAAGAGTATACAAATTTTGCACAGAAGAAAATTGATAACTAGCTTCAGTATGATGTTCCGCAACTAGGAAAAGCATATTTGAAATCAACGTCTGAAGCTGATTCCAAATATAATATATGTTTCTCATCTCGAAATGCGATTCTAAGTTATCTGACATCCCTTGTGAGAAAACGAAAGTGATCATGTTTTTCTCGAGCCGGGCGGCTCTGACATCTGTGGTTCTCTACTTTCTTTACTTGAATTTTCAGCTTTTTTCAAGCTTTAGTTCTCGGGAAATATCGAATTTAGCTCTCCTCTTTCAGGGTTTTTGCTCAAATTAAAGTCTTTCGAGGACTAGCCCTTGAAAAAGGCTAAAAATTCACTGTTATACTTGCAAAGGCCTGTAACATAGAATTACCTAAGTTAGGACGGTCCAGCATTACTCGAAAAACAAAGGTTTTTGATTAGTTTTCAATCATTTAATGCAGCAACTGTGTATATGAATGTCTGATGTCGAGAACTAGCCCTCATCAAGAAAGTACAGTCGTTTGCAAGTGGAGGGTCAAAGCTTCTAGACGGAGATCCGTTTTTTCGATTTTTTTGGGCATTTAGAAGTTTTTAGATTTTGATTTTCAATTTCACGTAGAACAATCATGGCGCAAAAGCAACAATAACAGTTAGAGCTTGCTTTGCTCTACCGAACAGTAACCCGCAGGCGTTTTTGGGGTTTGCCCGGTTGCGGTGCCACAGCAAGGAAATAAAAACCGAAACTATTTTCTTACAACCTAAGAGCTTCACCGTATGTAAACTGGCTTTTTATCGTTGTGGATGAATTTCTGCTATGAAGTATGGGATCAAACAGAGTAGTGTCCTTGATTTTCCTTAACTGACTCTCCCCCACATGAAAATAGATCTGACTACTAACTGATTGCTTACGCACTGCAACAAACGCAACTCGGATCACGCGCATGCCAGATAGTCGGGAAGAATGAGTACGTAGACAGACAAAAACTGCCTCCCGTCAAACCGGATCAGCTCTGGCCTACTGGAGCTGCGGACTTAGCACCCCCTCGATGCGTACGACGTCAGCTCTTAGTGCTAAATGTTTCAGGGACGGTTGACCGAGGACGCTCTAGCATGAAACATCTCGATGAAGGAAGAGAGGAATTCGAGTTTTCCGGGATGGCAGATAGCGCACACACGTGGACTCCGTGTACGGCGGAGTGAGAAGTCACCTTTTAGCTCGAAAGATGGTGCAGCTGAAAAGGGCTACGCTCCCGGTCGGCCCTCACATGAGACCACCGTTCCAGATTACGCTTGTTGACACCACGCTTAGTCTGCGAAGTGTGTACCGACTCACAGCAATCAGCAACCGGTATACCGGCCTGAGAAGCAGCCATGAACCCTCATATAAACCGTGATTAGCTCAGGTGATTGGACGCATAGATCATAGCTGTGTGGCAGTCGACAGTCGGCAGCGCACCGGTCGAAGGCCCCGATCGCTCACTTTCTTCTTTTGAAATGACAAACAGAAACGATCGTTACCACGAAAAGTGATAGAAGGGTTGCACTGAGAATCTTCTGACGCCATGTGCTTTGCAAATTCACTACATGACTATCTTACTCACCTCACTGAATTCTTCTTAAATTTATTAAAAATTGCTGTATAGACTTCTGTTATTGCTCCTGATATTGCAATCGCAATCTAGGCAAGGGAAAAACGCAGATGGCACTCGCTCCATCTATTTTTACTCCTTTAATTTCTTGGTGCTTCCGTTTACACGGGTCTTATTAGTCTATGATAGCAATCACGCCATCTACTTTTTTATTCTGACTTATGAAATAAATTTTCCCCTTAAAATCTTTCTGCCATGTCCATGTACATAGCTAAATTAGTCATGTAGTCTTTATCGCTCCCACTGATATACGTAGAACATGGTCACTTTCTTATCGAAATTATTTGGTTGATGCGACTTTCACCATGCTTCATCTTTAGGATGGTCCAGATGGTGATTCCTTTGTTTCAAGGTTATTCCATTTTTGACGTTCCTGCCATACTATGTGGTTCTCGTTAAGGCGCTGTATTGCACGCATAAGCTATAATCAGTCTAAAAATATAGGACGTCTGATTTGTAAATTTTTGTCGCAGCTGTCCACCGATAGGACTCATATGAAGCTTCTTCACTTCAACTACTTGTTGGTCTTGTCGTAGGGGCTACCATCTGCGATCAATTGAGCATCCATTGGCGTATTTTTCTTGCGCACTAATGTGTAGCCGCGGCTATTTTCATTTCTAGAAATGATGTAAACTATTGTCGTAGATTACATCATCTCTATCATTGACAGTAGATTAAATCATCTCTATTGTTTGAGGACCAACCTCAATATGATCTTCAAAACAATACTTTACAAGTTGACCAGTAAAGCTAAGATCATTTTCGTTGGCGGAACTTTATTGACATAGATTCAAAGCATTCAACACCAAGCTGCATTTTATTCTAGGAATCAATATGCAAACGCAAAAAAGAACATATGTCGATCGTCTTTGTACATAGTTATTGGTTAATTATATGAATCAAAGCTTTACAAAGTCTGTAAATAATATATGCATAGAGTATGTTCATTTGGCAGCTGAATGAGGAATAAGCGATCAGTCTCGCGGATTTCGTACAGAAGGCGTGGCTGTCCCACCAGAGAGCAGGGGTGGGCATTAGGACTTCATCCAAAGTCTACACAAGCACGCTTTGATTGAGTAAATTTATCAGGCAGTTTGTGACTGATGACGGGCGGCAGTTCCATATACACAACAATTTGCGTAAAAGACGCAAATTCATTGAATTGTCCCATAGATCTTTTCATTTTCCAGTTTTCGCTATAATAAGTCATACATTTCTTATTCTAGATAGACATCAGGATGCTATTCGATGGAACAAAGCAAGCTCTATAAGATGACATTTATGCTTTTGCACGAGCTTTGATCCACCTCAAGTTCAAAACCAAAATCTAAAAAGCTTTAAATGTCCAGAAAATTGAGAATTTTTAATATCTTCATCCAAACAAGTTTTGCAGACTTCACAGTCGCTCACGCAACGCATTTCACACCAGATACTCATATGTGCCGTTGCTGTATTTTTTATTAGCTAGAAATCGAGAAAGCGAAAATTCCCATGTTTTTACCAAAGTGATATTGTGCTGTTCTTACAAAGTTGTATACAAACCCTTAGAAGTACCACCGTAAATTCTTAGCCCTCTATAAGCTCTAGTTCCCGAAAATATCGAATTTAGCTTTCCCCACTCTGCTTTTTCACGCTTAAATCAACATTTCTCGGGAACCAGAGCTTGTAGAGAGCTAAGAATCTGCAGTTGTACTTCTGAGGGGCTTGTGGTATGCAAACGTTAGTGTAAGAAGAGCACAGCATCGCTTTGGTAAAAACATGGAGATTTTCGTTTTCTTGATTTTTAGGTAAGAAAAAAATACAGCATCGGCACAGATGAGTGTCTGATGTGGAGTGTATATGCATGAGCGAGTGAGAGATCTGTAGGACTTATTTGGACGAAGATGTAAAAAATTCACTTTTCTAGCATCCGAAAGTTTTTGGATTTTTGTTTTCTTGATTTCTAGCTAGTAATTTAGATTTTGATTTTGAAATTGGGGCGGATCAAAGCTGGTGCAAAAGCACAAGTACCATCTTATAGGGCTTCCTTTGCTCTAGCGAATGGTATCCCGATGTCCATTTGAGAATATAAGAAGTTCATGCTTTATTACAGCAAAAACTCAAAAATGAATAGACTTGTGGGACAATCTAATAAATGACTAATGCATAAAATTTAGACAAATATAAAGCGTAATGAAACAATGCGGAAATGCGAGAAATTCAAAAAAACTACACAGAAAACATCAGTATCGTTGCCAGAAAACGGCTAGTGCATAAAATCTAAACAAAATATATAAAGCATAAACAATGTGAAAATGCGAGAAATTAAAAAATACACAAAGAAACATTAGTAGTATCGTTGCCATGTAGCCGTTGATGGCGTGTAGACATTTGGACGGTAGCTGTTAAAATGACGCAATGAGCTGTTACCGTAGTATGACCAGCTTGAGGGTGCTGATCTGGAAGTAGTGAGATTATAACAAAAAGTTTGCGATAATGCAACCATGTCATGGGAGACATGTTTGCGATTTTGCACGTGAACTTTTTCTTTGCAGGACCTCTCTGGAAGAAAAAAGTCTTTGCTGCCTGCCAACAAATTGCTCCAATCCGGCTAAACCCTTCTACCTTCACTACCTGCTCATCGATATTTCATACAATGTAAATTGTCATACTAACATACGACAGCTTATATCATGTCGAATCAAATAATTGAGCAAATAATTCATCCATCGAAAGCACGACTACAGTGCTTTCCAATTTGCATCAGATCTGAGCTTATCAATAAATCACTTACACTGTCCCCACGTATGTTCTTGTATACATGTAATTCTTCAAGCTTCTTGGTCGACTTGCTATATCGTAGTTTGATTCGTTGGCTAGGTATGTATAGCCGGAATACCTGAAAATCAATAGTGTAATGTGGTAGCTCGGTCGTTATACTATAATTTTTGATCCAACTAGGGCTGGAAGGCGGGGCTTTGTGACCCAGTTAAGGCCGCTCGCGCTCGCGATGCAGTTGGCGTTTCTTTCGCGCTCGTGCTCTCTGATCATTCTCTAACCTTAACTAGGTTACGAAGTCCTGCCTTCCAGCCGCCAATCCAGTTGAATCAAAGGGTACATATCGGGGATTTAGGTTTGGGCGATTGTGTCTCTTGGAGTATGTTCTGAACACAAAATCGGTTCTGGAAAGTCTAGGCATGAAGGGATCGTCAGAGGTGGAAGGGGGAATGCTGTAGGCAATAATTTGTGCAAAACTCAAACATCACAGTGATCCATGCACATCTTTACCACAATACTATAGAGTGAGGTGAAAGTCTGGGAGCCGACTTTGCAGTGTTGTAAATTGAGAAACTACTGATGATTTTGATTCCGAATTTGTGCCACATATTGCCGCGATCGTTGCCTGACATATGTTTTTGTGAGAGTTAAATTTAATAAACAAGTTTCTGCAAAGCGAGAAAATCGAAATTTTTAGTCTTTACAATTTATTTTGTAGCTACAGATACAGTAAATAATTTGAAGAATTTTGATGCATACAACGTAGAACGCTTTGCGCTATCAATTCACAGTAGTTGCATTTGCCAGATGCTATTTTTTCGAGAACGCAAAATAAAAATTTGTGGATACTATCTGCGTGCCAGTAGCCATTTGTCTTTAAAATAAATTTGAAGCCATAGGGGCAAGCACTGAGTTTTAGGCTATATTTTTTTCATGAATCTTCTATATAAGCATCCATGTAAATCCCATCAATGGAGCAATCCCAATATTTTTTAAATTATGATTTTTTGCCCCCGTTCGCGCAATCGCATCTAGATTTCCAGTATGCGGATACACTTGCCTTCACTTGAAATTCCAAATTTTTTCCTATGCATTGCAAAAAAAAATTTCCTCGCAGCGCGTTGTAGCCTAAAACTTGCTCTATCATACTACACATGTGCTTGGTGAAATACACATGTGCCTGGTGAGAGAAACAGTTATAGTGAAGGCGTGGAGCGATCAACACGACTGTCTGCATGCCACGACAGGCGGACTTGCCAAGATTTCGAAGGGCTGCTTTGAAGCCAGAAGAAACAATAGCAAAATTTGACAGCTGCGTTTTATTTGCAAAGGTTCGATATATGCGTGCACAGAACTTTTTGTTTCCTACTTTTCTTCTAATTTTATCTAAAAAAGTACTAGACTCCCAGACTTTTGCTCAATCCTATATAGAATCGCTATCCACTATCCAACACTTTTTTTCGGCACCAGAAAAATTAAGGGCGGGGCGTCTATTCCAAGCACAAATCGCCGCCCTCTGTCGACACACTCTTCCATTACCAAAAAATTGATCAGCCCTCCTTTGAATGCAAACTCGTCCAACCTACCCTCGCCGTGTTGTTATAGGCCGACTTTCTGGTGTTAATTGCGGTGGTGTGTAAAGTGATGTCGTGCCGTACATTCTGTTGAAGTTGTACGAGTACGGTCGCCGGTAGTCTTGATCTCTTCCGTATACGTACCTGGAAGTGTGTCATGACATAACTTCAAGTGACTGTCGATCAATATATCGATCGATGCGCTTACTTGTATATGGGGTAGCTCCATGTGCGTAGACCAAATACATCGTATTTACGGAATGGTTGATCTTCCAGTCTGTACTGAATGTTCGTGTGATATGGTGCCGTCACCATTGCCAGTGGCGTGCGTGCACGATATGAAGTTAATGGACGACGTCGATCGGGAATAGACTGAAACGCACACATACTTGAACACAAGTACAATGTTTCGGATGTATGTCAAGAGTACATCAAATAGCATATAATTTGTGTTTGACAACGCTCTAGATGCACTTGAAAAGCTGCAAGCAGTTATGCTACCCTTTGATTCAACTGGATTGGCGGCTGGAAGGTGGGGCTTCCTGGCCTAATTAAGGCTGGAGAATGATCAGAGAGCACGCGCGGAGAGACACAGACTCCGTCGCGGGCGCGAGCGCTTCTAATTACGTCACAAAGCCCCGTCTTCCAGACGAATCCAGTTGGATCAAAGATTAGATAGTCTTGTGGGTTTATATCAGCTCAAGACAAGTTCAGTACAGAAATGTCGAATGTCAAAATTCTTTGGAAATGCAAGTGCTATCAAATTCGTAAACATTTCATTCGATTTCAAATCAAAATCCGTTAAACTCGGCAAGGGGCAACTTTAAAGAGCTTGTAAGCCAAAGCACTTTATTAGGTACATTCTGAAAGGCTTTGAAGACCTAACCTTTAATTCAACTAGTTAGCGGCTGGAATGCGCGGCTTTGTGACCTAATTAAGGCCGCTCGCTCCCGCTACGCAGTCTGCATCTCTCTCGCGCCCATGTTCTTTGATCTTATCTAACCCTAATTAGTTCATTAGTTCACGAAGCCCCGCCTTCCAGCTGCCAAGCCAGTTGAATCAAAGGCTACATAATCGCATCTGTTGACAAGACTCGCCAGATTTTTTTTCCGATTCAAACAATGTTGGACCGGGAAAGGGGGGGGGGGGTGGGGGGGAGAAGGGGGTGGGGGGAGAGGGTTGATGGGTAGATTTGCTACTATGCGAACGACAAAAAGCGCGAGTTACGAAGAAATTGCATATCTTGAATTTTGCTGTCAATACTTTCATTGTATATAGTGCGAATCCAAAACTTGAGTAGATTAGATACCTCTATACTGAGTTTTGTGGACGCTGAAGAATGCCGATGGCAAAAATGAAAAAACCCCCAATCTACCTCTCACTGAGCGATAAAAGAACAGCTGTGTACTGATTTGACGTACAGCTTCACATTAACTCTACCCGCCTGTTGCTACTGACTTCCTGATTCATCGCCTCAGTTTATTAGCAAATAAAATCTCAGTAGTTTCCATGTTTTGCTAACTTTGAAGCTGGGTATCGTATGTATTTTTCAGTGTTCTGAGCCACACAGGTTTTTAGATGGTCTTTATTTATCCTATCACGGCCTAACGTTTCGACGCCTTCGTCTTCCTCAGAGGCCTGAAAGTGGTTTGAGACGTCATCTGTGACCCCAACTCCACACACCCCCTTCTATTTCGGCTAGTTCTTAACCTTCGCTCAGACAAATGACAGTTGTCATTTATGGTATAGTTTATTCTTCCACCACGACCATATTTTCGGTGCGAAAAACCATATATAGCGGTGGTTATGCTCATCTTCTGTACTGACATTTTTATACTAGGAAAGATGAGCGAAGATTGAGAACTAGCCGAATTAAGGGAGGTATTTGGTAGCTTGCAGTTATGGATGATGATTTGGACCACTTTCAGGCTTTTGAAGAAGATGAAGGCGTCGAAACGTTAGGCAGCGATTGTATCAATTAAGACGTCTGAAAACCTGGCTCAGAACACTTGAAAAATGAAATATCTCATCTTGACAAATGCTGGCTTTTTCTTTCATGAAATAACAATAAAAATGCTTTAGAGCCATGCTTCTTCCCATCATTTCTAAAATCCATCGTCGGCCATTTCGCATAAATTTCTACAATTGCGACAAACTGACTGCGATAAACATGTGGAAGGGGTCAGCCTAGCGGGCAAATCATAGACCCCGCAAGGTGTAGGAATTTATGGTTTATTGCAGATGTCCTGGCGAGTAAAGCTTATCGGCGACATAATGTCTAACTATCTTATCGGTCTAAAGGAAGCTCAAAGCCTATTTCAGCCGTGCTATCTCACCAGGTCTTCTTCATCGAACTTCTCCGACTTTGGCGCCAGATGTTATAAAGAATGCACTTTAATTTGCTATGATGAATTTATGTCTCTGTCACTCCCTATTCTCAAATATGCCGTGCAAGTATTATTTTTTTACATTTACACTAGACTGCTATATAACCCTACATACAATGTGCATGAGCTATGAGAATTGTACGGATACCACATGTTTCTTGCACAAAAGCGACTTGCACCGCAATATTCTTGCGCTGTGATAAATTGCTGTCACAACAAGCTTGCGAGGCCGCACCAATTTTTTTGCTCCAAGTGAAGCCCTTTCTCCATTAACTAAATAGATGTAAAAAACCTGTTGAATGGCGAAATTCTATTATGCAAGTCATCACAACATTGCAGGTTTCGGAATAAAAGCTTTTATGTGGGAAAGTGTTGTTTCAGTCAATTATCATCACGAAAGGGCTCAAACACATGTGGCAGTGCCGCTTTTCTTTTGAAGGGTTTGAATTTTGAGCATGCATTTGCCTTAGGCCAAAGTCCGCGAATTGATTTATTAATGATTATTGTCACGCACTAACCGGGTTCGTTAGTGCGAGGGCGGATGTCCAGGTGGGGATAGAGAGAGTACTAGAAGAATTTATTAGAGGACTAGAAATAGCAGACAGTAACAATGACTAAAACAACGGCCGGGCGGCCTTATTTATAGCCGCCACGGTACAAAGTACATGGTCAAGATCAAATTCAATAATCATTGTCTATAGGTGCCACCGCGTCCATCCTTGACATGCCCCTCCGTCGGTAAGAGTCGTCCCGACTCTTGACTTGTGCATAGTGAGGATTGACAACTCTCGCGTCTTGACCCTTGGAGACCAGGAAACTGACGACAGGTCTTCTCCCACCTCCATAGAAGCAGTGCTGTTGCACCATTGATGGCCGATTTTCACCTTGGCTACCCGCATCGTGACAATCATCTACTAAATCAAGAGGGCGTCCTCGCATCCACCTATGACTGTACCTAAAAATAGAATTAAGGGGTCTAACGCGATATTTGTTGCTCTTAGTACGTGATTCAGCACCAGACTCGGTTGTCTTCACGTCATTTCTTAAACTAGAGCATTGTGAATTTCGATTTAGTCGATTCCTGGTGGCTTTTGACAACCTGTCTCTCTTGGCCTTGAGCTGTCGCTCTAGGGACCGCACAGGATTGCAGATCCTCGTGTTCTCCCCCGCCACGGTGAACTTGGCCCCTGCCAAGTTAACGCCGTGCTGAAAGCGACCGCTCCTGCTTTTTGTACTCGAGGCTACTTTACAGTTCGCGACCTCTTCCCGTACTCCTTTACGATTAGGAGACATCTCGGTTAGCGGTGCAGTCTCGAGCTGTTGTTTCCACTTTCTCCGTTTTCTTGGAACACCGATTTGGACGAATTTTTCGACAACTGTCCTTCTTGTGCCACCATGAGTGTTTCTCAAATCAGCGATAGATGGCCCAAGTTGCGGTAGCGCATTTGTTCCGAGCACAATTCTGCCATCTCCTCCCTCTCTAACGAAGAAGGCTACTCTGTGCTTGGTGCCACTCTCGACTTGCAAGGTGAGCTTCACCGCTCCCTTGAACTTTATCCGTTTCCCGGAGGCATCGTATGCGGAAGGTAACTGCTGAATCGGGATTTCTTCAACATCCGCGTTCAGATCAAATCCCTTTTTAATGCTCATCATTAGCAATCTCAGGGGGATAATGCTGATTTGAGAGCCTGTATCTACCATGGCTCTTCGAAACAATCTCAGCAAACGTACATTTAGCACTATTTGCTTCCCAAACAGCTGATTCTTCCTCGATCGTGTCCTTGCCGAGCTGCAAATCCATCGATCCAAAGATGCCGTAAAGTTACTTGGGCACTGTTCAAGTTTCTTTGCTGACGCTGAGGTTTTCCTTTCTCCACCCTCGCGACTATAATGTCCTGGTTTGTTACAGTTGTAACAGCGTGGCCACCTTTTGCAAGATGCTGCCAAAGTATCTTGCATAACACAATTTTTTTCCACAACTGGAGTCTGGCTCTCGCTAACGGATGTATCGGCATATGCATTTAGCACGACTTGTTCCGTGCTTTGTTGCACCGCCACAGCCATCTCTCTGCTACGCTCGCAGCGCAACGCCATAGCTTTCACCAACTCATACGCGCATTCCCTCGGCGCTGTCTCTACGGTGGTGAACATCTGGAAGTATTCAGGCCAGTCCCTCAACTGCAAAACCAATTCTGCAGCTCTTATCCATGAGAGCTGCTTGTCTGTGGTGTCTGGGTACGCTAACCGCGTAAGCCTCTCTAACTCAAGACAGGAGGCTGTAATGTCCTTTGTCATCCGCAGATGTTTGAGTTGTACATACGCAGTTATTTGATCAGCAGACTCATTTATGCTCCATGTGTTTCGCAGTGCTTCTACAATTTCTTCGAACGTACTCTCCCGTATCCTTGCTGATAGTGTTTCGGCTACTGCCTTAGGATATCCGTCCAATTTAGACAGAAAAAGATGTACTAGCATGTTGTTATGCAGTCCAAGTCTACCATACTTCATTATGAATCTGCAAACAAAATCATCGAAGTTCCTTCCTTGGGGATCTCCATAGAGCTCAACCTCTGGAAGGGCCATTGCTGCCAACACCTCCGCATATCTGCCTGTGCGACCTCACCCTCGGTCGACGGGATTGTATGCGGAACCCTTTTCTGACACTCCGGCATTTTCTGCATGGTGTCCATCGGCTTCTTCGATGAAAACAATTCAAGCTCGGTATCTGTACGAGATAGAGCTTTATTCAAATCCAATGTTCTGTGCTTCACCTGCAGCACAAATTCAATTTCGACGATGTATCAGCTCACGGTACACACGCGTATACCCCTCCTCCCTCTAGACTGGGTCTTGCGGTGTAGCTGATACAAGCCACAAAGTATACCCCTTGACCAAAAGGGGCCTGTCAGTATACGGTACACGCGCCGCTGCTCCCTTGTAGAGGTAGACCACGGCGGTGTAACTGACACTCTCCTCCGGTCCTCTGAGAAGGCTCGATGTGCGGTGTGCCACACAACGAGCTCCTCTTTGAATCGGGGATATACACTGCCTCTGATATAGGCAGGATACTCGCCTTTTCCGCTTACGCGGTCTTATCGGTGGGGTTGGGTTGGTCCGGTTCGGCCCCCATGTCACGCACTAACCGGGTTCGTTAGTGCGAGGGCGGATGTCCAGGTGGGGATAGAGAGAGTACTAGAAGAATTTATTAGAGGACTAGAAATAGCAGACAATAACAATGACTAAAACAACGGCCGGGTGGCCTTATTTATAGCCGCCACGGTACAAAGTACATGGTCAAGATCAAATTCAATAATCATTGTCTATAGGTGCCACCGCGTCCATCCTTGACATTATAATTTAATTATGGTTGTATTTTTAACCACTCATTTACTCTTATAAGCCACTTTGCTGAGACGGTACGTTTACGGTAATAGTGAAGCACAGGGCTCGGCACGAGGTGGCTAGATGAAAATGCAAAAAACGAAGTCCCCCTTGACTTTTGGGTATATTTACAAAGTCCCCTTTGACCCCCCACCATATTCCCTAAATTTCCTCCAAAAAAACGAAACGTCGACTAAGAAAAACGCCGCCAATTTTGCGTGCCTCCACAAAAACGAAACCCCCTTTGCTTTTTGTCCTGAAAACGATACCCAGCTTGTTTGTAAGCCACCTGTGCCGAGCCCTGGTGAAGCAATATAGATTTGCAGGCTGTTTCGCTGCAGGAGCCACGCGGTTTCTTGCAATTCCAACTTTTTGACGCTTACGATTCTTTATATATAGAAATCCGGTAATCGTGCAGCGACAGCTCAGCATGAATATTTGTATCCTGACATATGATCACTCTACATTTTCTGCAGATGGTTGGTCCGTTAATGTCGACATTTTTTTGGAAAACACTTCCAACAGGGAAGAGAAATCAAAAAAAGTAACAAATATTCCATGCAAAAGGTATCCTTTCGCGGTAGCTAAATTTGCTGAAATTTTGAGAATGGTGAACAGGTACGCAGAAAAAGACCGGTAAACAGCTAGAAGGATGATGGAAAACTGAAATCAAAGGGATTTAGACTACTCACAAATTATCGTTTTGTAAGATTCAAATCGAATAAAGCAAAATCTTACAAATCTAAAATTTGTAAACTATGTATTCATGCATTGAAACTATAATCCATGTATTGAAAAAACGAATATCGTGCGGTTTGACACCTTTTGTTCTTTCTGACTGGCACAATTTTTTTAGCTTACCAAAGCAGTTGTGTATTTTAGATGCTGCCTAAACCATGCAAAAGAGGACTAATACCTTTTTGCTATGCGTGAATGATCGCGGAATTTTTGAAAGCTCATTTTAATTTGCAGCGGACGTGAATAGTGATAGGGATATATTGCAAACAAACTCTGTGCATTTTGTTTTGTGTCATGATGTGCTTGAAAGCAATTTTCGCCATATCAGTTATCGCAGTTTGGATCTGTAGAGAATTGGTTCGATAATTCAATTTTTTGAAAATTAGGTATATACAACTAATAAAATTATAAAATAATCAACAGCGAAGAAAAAATTAAACGATTTCAAATGCACTAGGTTGGAGCAAAAAAAATGCGCGTTTTTCTAACTTTTGTTTAGGACAACTTTTCTCCATTAAACTTTCTCCTTTAAAAAAAACTTAGCATACTTTCAAAAAAGCCTCTTTCATGATCTATCCAATGGTGAGAGAGGAGCTTCTAGCAGGGCTCGGCACCACTGGTACCGGGTCAAGCTGGATATTGTTTTTAGGGTTGAAAGCAAAGGGGTTTCGTTTTTCCGAAGTCCTGGGCGGAGAAGTGCCGCAAGAATCCCGCCGGCATGCCACCGACATGCCACCGGCATGCTATCCATCAACAAACAAAGGCGTTGTTTTCTGGCAAAACGCTATAATATGACACCAAATTTGGTGTGTGCATGCGCGTTGGTGGACCCGAACTATGGCCCGAAAATTTATGAAAACTTAAGTGAATGAAAGCTGTACCGAACTTTTTTCTGAATTAGCTGGCACCGTGCCAGCTGGGTGCCAGCTGAGCTGGCACCGACACTTTGCTCACATAAATTTTCATACTTTTTTACATAAAATGTATCTACACTGTAAAAGTTTACATACAGAGAAGAAACAGTTTCATAATGTTTTCTTTTCAGCGTTTTATAGCCATCCGAAAAGTACTCGGCCTGCTCCGCAGCTAAAAAATCGGTTTTTTTCTGCTTCTCAAGATGTGATTCGACCACTTAAGAAGTTCAGAAAGCTGTGAAAAGTTTTTCCATGAATTCAGCATGCATGAAAACCCTATTAAATACTTTTACATGATCTAAAAATAATGACGGGTCATCAAAACAGGTTAAAGGAGACTTCGTATGCAATTTTCACAAACGGGGCTTCGTTTCAAAATTTCCCCTGGTGCCAGCTCGTGCCGAGCCCTGGCTTCTAGCCTTATTCGTTAGGAATTTATAGAGCTTCATATCTCCGCAATCGAAACCTGAATTTCATCTCACTTACTTTTTTTGGCCAGAATTCAGGCACGTAAGGGCATTCTTTTGGAAATTTAGCCTTTGTGTGTAATAGAAATTGTCCACATTACGCATACTTTACCATTTTCTTAGAAATCACCTAAACTGAGATTTCGGCGCCTCAATATGGGTAGTAGTTTTGGTCATTCTGTGGCTTATAAATTTCCTTCGAAGAGGGCAATTGTCAAAGCTTTGCTCACTTCTGTAAGCGTAGAGATGGGGCTCCTATTGACAGTTTTTGCAGAAATGTTTAGCTGTTCAGTAGGCAAAAAATCAAAAATCCATATTTTGGGATTTTAAGACCTACGAAAAAATGTCGAAAAAAGCAGACAATTTTGAGCATTGATTTTTTCCTTTTTGCAAATCTGCTTTTTTTGAGTACTTTTCAACTTTTTTTTGTACTACTGGTTTGCGGCTACAAGACATTGTACTTATTATATTAACAAGTACTGAAGAGAGTTATTATCAGTTAAGAACGAGGTTTCAGATAATTTTTTTGCTTATCAAATCACATTTTTGTGCCCGTTTGTGATCTGAGCATAGTTGGATGTGCGCAGTATTGAGGAAGGGTTGGTGGCTCTAATGGTTTTTGACGCACTGAAAAATACGAATTTTTTAGAAAGTCATAGCACATCAAAGTGAGACTCGAAAAACGCGCATTACTTTTGCACTATTCTAATGAAATGACAATGGTTGAGTAATAAAAAATCAGTTTTAATTACTTCACTTCAGACATAGCGTAGTAGACTCTCCATCTTCATTTTTATTGTTTAACCAACATTTGCGCAATAATTTTTTATGAAGAAGGTGCGAAAACGCGAACGGAAACGTTACTACTTCGTGAGCACAAGGAGCGAGATGAGATTTGCAATAAAATTTTGTGACGAACGTTTTCATCGTAGGTGGTATTATAAAATAAATCATTGTAAATGACATCTAATATAAAAACTTGTGGATTCTTGAATGAAGGGAATTCTTTCATGCGTTTATAAATTTTTTTTTTGATTTCGGTCCTTTCGTGAGGCAGCTTTCTGTATTGAGTCTGAGTTCTTTGATAATCTATCAACCAGATTCATTGCTTCAACTTTAGAACTGTTGAGGCAATGAGAAATCTATTGATCACTTAAGAACGATGTAGGAAAAAAATTGTGACAAGTAGCTATCCAAGTAGTTTAATCGCATGTTTTCTATATTTTCGTGAACCTATGAAAAGGAAATGAAAGAAGGGTGAGGAACTGGCAGGTGGACAATTGAGAGGTTCTGAAGGAAGTGACGTAGAATATTCGTGAGAAGTAAGAGCATATGTCTCAAGACAGGTATAAAAAGGGTGCAAATGCAAGGGCTACGACTTCCCAAAAAAAGAAGAAAAAAAGAAAGACATCTGTTCCCCATTTATTCAAAACTTGAATAAATGGTGCAGTTTCGCGAAAAGCGATGAAAACGAAGCGGAAGCGCAAAAAAAACCATGTCGCAAATAATGGCGCCCGTGTGTGTAAAGCAAACAAACAACAGCGAAACTCCACTTTGTCAGGTCATCAAAAACGTTTTTTTTTCAGTTCGAGAAAGTTTAAAGCAGCAAAAAACTTCTCCCCTTTCCTCTGCACAAATTATTGATTGATTTATAGCGAAAAACTTACTAAAATGGACGTGACACTCCACTCGGGTAAACGCATTAGTTCTGCGGTTAGCACAGAAATACCATCGGACTTTGGATGATCAGTGTAACAATTACAAGAAGCCATCAATTGTGTGGATAGATGGAAGTGTCAAATTTCAATCAGAAATTTTTTTCTGCCAGGGACCATGACCTTCGCAAAAATCAATAGCTTCTTTCGGGTATTTTTCTGTCGCAGGTAGTTTCTATATTTATCTCTAGACGAATGGAATAAGGGGAGGGGGCTTGGAAGAAAAATCGAAACAAATGCGCCTGTTGCAGATGTTGTTTGGGGATGGTGGGATACTTTAGATGCATGGCAACTGCCATTGTAAACTCGTACAATCAATCAATATATCGATTGATTGCGCATGGTCTTGATGAGCTTACCTCAATGCCTGCAATCTCTCGGACCGGTGTAAAACTGCGTCTGAGATGACTCATATATCGCTCTTGGTTATGTATAGGTGTTCGTTCTCGGTTCCATTGTGCTAGATAGCTTTCTCTGCAGAATTATTGATTAACGATGCGATCCATAAAATCGATAACTTGATCAAGAGCTATGACTTCACCTCGATATAGCGCCTAAATCGACAGAACGACTGCGATAGATACGATGTGTGTCGCGGTATGACATCGCACTTTTTCGAAGTTCTCGTTCGGTAAATCTGAAAAATCGATCGATAATCGATCAATGCTTGCGAGATATCAAACATCGAGCATTGTTCAAATATGCGTCATATCATCAAGTTTGAAGTATCTTTTTATAACCGTCTCGCTAGTGTATACACATCTGGCGTCATTCGTCTGCTGACGCAAACTTTGTATCAAAGTTTTCTTGTCAGTTTCGCCCCCACAACGAGCAAGTCACGGTTATGAAAGCCTCGTGTACCGAGACCAAATTTTTGCAAAGGAACCAATCAGCGCTTTAGAGTACGGTAAAATTACGGTATGGCCGAGAGTTCAGATCTAGATTTCTCCGCCACGAATGAATCGTATGGAGCTGCAGTTCGAACAGTGGCATATGTCCTCTCATTGTTTTCACATGAAGAATCAAGTATTCAAAAAGAAGTGGATGATCGATATTTATGAAATACATGGCAAAAAAAAATCGAACTTGTTTTTTCATATGGAAAGTGATCGAGTGGCCTCGTCTATGCCATTCCCCATGCGGTAGCTCATATGATTCACTGGTGGCGGTGAAATCCAAATCTAAACTCTCAGCCATACCGTAACCTCTACCGTACTCGAAGGCTCTGATTGGTTCGCGTTGAAAAAATTTGGTCTTTCTCTTCTTCTTCCACTTTTCCACCACTACATATGATGAGAGACAACGTTCTAACGTTTTTGCACTTTTAACGTAAAAACTCTTCTCTTCCCTCCCCCCCCCTTTTCCTCCCCACCACACAAAAGCTTCTATCAATAAATTTACGTTCCTCTAATGCTGTCGTTAGTCTCCCACGCCTTCGCCCCACACTCTTGACAGATGGCGCAGTTTTTGTTCGTCTAATGAAGTTACACCTCTTGTCTGATGCAATGAGTGTCAGCTGGTGGTATTTTCAACTACCCCTCCCCTCCCCTCCCCCTCTCTGTCTTACCTCTCACAATATGGTTGACCTGGGACAGTTGGCAAATATGGACTAATAAGTTGTTGCCAACTTTTATCACGTGACGATTTTAGCAAAGCCTTAGCCGCTTTGACAGCTGGAGATCTGAAAATAAATATGATTTAAAATATGAAGAAAAATAAGAGTATGAGAATGGATCGAGTATTTTGTGCATTAGTGAAGGATTACGAATTAATGAAGGGTCAACATTGTAATATGCTTTGAAGACAAAGTAATCAGATCAAAATATTTGTATTATCGAGACAAAGTGTGCCCCCTTGAAATCAATATAAGGCATTCAAAATCGAGTGGATAAAGAACAGATATCTTATACATAAAGCTGAATGTCTGTTTGTCTGTATGTCTGTCTGTATGTCTGTATGTATGTACGCATGTTCCGAATAAAAATTTTTATTTCTGAACCGATCCGGTCCAAACTTGGCACACATACACTTCGGGCCGGGAGGGTGTCATAGGCTACTTTTCGTCATCGATCGATATCGATTTTATTGATTTTTCAAAAAGTTCGAGCTACGGGGCTCGAAGTTGACACAGGGGGGTAAGTGAGCATGCTGATTACGAATATATTATTGACAGGGCCGGGCGGAGCCGGGTTTGCCAGCTAGTGACATAATAAAGCAAAATTCAAAAGTCTCCTTTACAGTCTCAAATTCCTATTGTACAAGTATTGACCCCTATTATTGTAAATAAAATCAACACTCGATATAGTTCAAGCTAAAGTGCTGTCTTTGACCATATTGAGCAGTTTTTCTTCAGTGCTACGATCACGTTAGGGCTCTCCAGTGAGTTAGGTGCTGAGGAATCCGATATATGTACCCTACCGTAACGATGGATATTTGTCTTCCATCGGCCTGTCATCGAACCCCTTTGAAGCGCTAAAATGATTTATCAACGGATTTAAACAATAATAATTATGTATGAAAGTCCAAGCTGACATGATTACAACGCATGTTCATGAGATCTACCTTCTACCATATTTTTCTTGCTTTCAAACAGAGTGCTCAATTGGGAAGTAGGTTTTGAGCAGTTACTCAATTTGCAAAAACAACATAATCGGTTTTGACCACTGTTGCTCATTTGAACTCTATCATTTCTCAGACTTGACCAGACTGGATCAAACTTGGATTATCATACGCTTTTTAGCTGACAATTCACGAGAATATGGGAATTTGCAAAGATAATTCCTGAACTCAGCAATAACATGTAAGATTCATCATTTAAGAAATCGCGACGATGGATGTGACTGCGGTCTTTGCGCCACAGGAGCATAACAGTCATATAAAAGGCCATCACCTCAACGGTCAACTCAGTCACTTCCGATGTTCAAGGACTATCAGACCTAAGCAGGGAAACCAGTCGAGTAGAGATTAAAACTAAGAAAATGCGGCCGACGGAAGGTGCGTGCGTGTCGCGTGCGGTCTCGCCATCGTCACGATTTTTTGAATGTCCTATACTTATTGTTAACGCTATTGAGACGATAACTATGAAGATTGGAGGTATTACTATGAAAGGAATTTTTGCACAATGCCACGCGTACTTGTTCTAAATGCATGATATGGTCGAACATTAGCAAAACTCTCTTGTACAGGAAATATTAGGTTGAACCGAAAGTTCTGTCGCACGATTTTCAAAAATTCATAGCTTCTTTCGGTCACGACGATTTTGCGCAATTCAAATTTTATTAGAAAGCGTAAAGCATGTAGTTTCCAAAGGTCTCCTGCGCGCTTTTCAACATGCTCAGGTTGCAGAGATAAAAATGAAAGAACGAGATTATCCGAAATTCGGAATTTTTAAGCAAGAATTCTAGAAATTCAGAAACAGTGCGATAAAATCCAGAAAAGCCATTATCCTTATTTTTCTTACATTTGATTACTATCTGAGTTAAGTTTGTGCTGATCGAGCCCTTCTCTCAAAAGTTATGATTTTTTGAAAAAAAAATGCCGAAAAATCAATTTCCTAAGAATTCTTAAGAAATGGATTTTTTGGCATTTTTTTCAAAAATTCATAACTTTTGAAAGAAGGGCTCGATCAGCACAAACTTAACTCAGATAGTAATCAAATGTAAGAAAAATAAGGATAATGGCTTTTCTGGATTTTATCGCACTGTTTCTGAGTTTCTAGAATTCTTGCTTAAAAATTCCGAATTTCGGTTGATCTCGTTCTTTCATTTTTATCTCTGCAATCTGAACATGCTGAAAGGTTGTCAGGGGAGCATTGGAAACTACATGGTTTACGCTTTCTAATAAAATTTAAATTGCGCAAAATCGTCGTGAATGAAAGAAGTTACGATTTTTTGAAAATCGTGCGACAGAACTTTCGGTTCAACCTAATATATTGTGATAAGATGTAGAGACTAAAATTTTATGAACTGTGGATTATCAAAGCAACACTTCTCATTTTAACAATGGTCAAGAGATTTAAGATTCGGCAGTCTGGAGACTCTGATGATATCTGTAAGCTCAAAAAGAGATGAGAAGTTTTTAACTTTGAGTTGAGAAGAATAACTGATGAATAATCAGTTCTAAAAAATCAAACCATAGAGTAAAAAAATTCACACATTTTCGGTTTTGATGCATCGTAAACGACCAGATTTATTTTATATTAGTGGAATTCACTTCTGTAAAAAGTAAACTGAGAACGTTATTATTATACACTTCCCTTTCTTGAAAATTTCATTGTAAGAGCTTGAAAATGAAAGCATCTCAAAACTTTTTTTGGAGGGCGTGGCTTACACTTGGAATTGTCACTAATAAGTGTGTACATATTCCATTGTTGGTATCATATACCTCACAATTTTCATCAAGAAGTGTAGTTGTAGGTTTGTGAAGGAGCTAATGCTGCAGCAGCGGAATTTCTTTGCGAGCGTCTCTTTAATTTAAGCTCTATCTATTCTTACTGTTATTTCGATTATTTTTTCGAGTGATTTTCAAGAACTTATCGATTGAGTTTTCCATTCTAAACTTTTTTCTTCTCTTTCTCTCGGAAATCGTGAGACTTTTAGATAAACATTGGCACAGTGCAAAAATCAAGTTTGGAAAATCGAAAAAAAAAACTGTAATTACCTTACGGTTGTATAATTCGTCATATACATGACGAAACAACCGGCCGAGCAACAGAGTCAAGCAGCAGAAACTCAACACAGTTAGCACACGCGCGGCTCAGCAGTGACGAGGCATGTCGCGCCTCGCTTTGAGTACTCTCAGATCCCCACGCGCAACACAAGCGGATAAGATTCGAGTACGTCAACTCGAACGCGTTTCGGACAAAAGATCAGGTTTCAGTTGTTATGTCGCAGGCGAACACTCGATCTCTTATGTTATTAGTGTTTTTTTCTAGAAGGGGATAGCAAAAATCCGCTCAAAGTTTATACTTCCTGAAAAAAAATAGACTTAACCTTCATCTGGCTTGGCGGCTGGAGGGCGGGGCTTTGTGACCTAGTTAAGGCCGCTAACGCCCGCGAAGCAGTCTCCGTCTCTGTCGTGCATGTGCTTTCTGACCATTATCTAGCCTTAAAGGCAGCGGCTCGGAGATTAAACTACCTCAGATTTTGACACAGATGGATAGGAGGCCCTCCAAGTGAACCAAAATAGCAACTTCGCGCCGAAAATGTGAACTCTGCAAGCCACGGGGGTGGCCCAAGCGCCGCTCCCCTTCCTCCTTTCGCTCCCCTAACACCTTGTTCGGACGAGTACTCTCCGCTAGACGGCGCGGGACCCCCCACCCGCTTTCCTGCATTGTGCATGCTATAACAAAGCCAAAATTACAGGCAGCAGGGTCTTCGTGCCAGGGCCTTCCGACTCTCCTTTGAAAATTCGTTCGAGCTGCCTTTTGGAAATTGAAAAAACGCCCCGAAAAAGGCCTTTTCACCTCTTTTAATGCTCAGATGGATCTAAGGATCGAGAAGGCCCAAAACATGCAAAAAGATGGAAATGCAAAATCTGCCGGGACCTTACCTTTAATCAGGTCACGAAGCCCCGCCTTTCAACCTCCAATCCAGTTGAATCAAAGGGTATCAACAATCGCCAGTAGCTCAATGGCACCGCCTACCCAGATCATGATGATATTTTGGTGCTTCAATAGCAGAGCCCTTAACTAAGGCTTTGGCCATACTTTGCCCGTGTTGCTGATGTTACCAGTGTTACTCGTGTTGCCGATGTTACCAGTGTTATTCGTTACCGGTTTTCCCGATGTTACCAGTGTTACTCGTGTTGCCGATGAGAATGAGACTGTACTGACGATCATTTTGATACTCAATTGCAATAAAGGCGGTAACACTAGAAACACGAGTAACACTGGCAACATCGGCAACACGAGTAACACGAGTAACACTGGTAACATCGGCAACACGTGTAACACGAGTAACACTGGTAACATCGGCAACACGGGCAAAGCATGACCAAAGCCTAAGTAGTCGCCGAAGTCTTACTGCAGAAGATGAAGTCTGAAGCGAGAAAATCGCCCTGAAAAGTACAAACAGCCCAGGAAATTCCGCCTATCAAGGTGGGTAGTCTAAAATCAATAAGCGCAAGAATGGTCCTCGGAGTAGGCACAAATTTGAATTCGACAATCATAGTGAAGGGACGGGGGACGAGTGGCGTAGTGATATGAGGCGTCGCTAGTACCAAATTGGACCCGGGTTCGATTCTGCCCCTGGGCCAATCAAGCCCTCTACCCTCCTGGGCCGGTAAAATGGTACCAGAGTAATGTGGGAGGATAAAAGCACTGATTTGGTCATCGGCTGGGCCCCGCAAGTCACTGTAATAGACCCGCACTCATTCAATAGATTTTCCGACTTCGAAGTAAAGTGCGTTCGGCTCATGCCCGCGTAAGGTATTGAAAACGCCAAATCCCTTATTCTCTATCCTTCTAGTGAAGGGACGATTTTGACAATTTTGGATACGTTAGAGCGCACACTGAACTTGTTAAATGACCACCCAGGTTTGGGGGAGAATTTCCAGAGCGCTTGTACATTTTTGGCGATTTCCCCCTTCGAAATTCTTTCTTTATAGCGGGGCTTGAGCGAGTACTTAGTTAGGGCTTTGCTATTGCAAAGCACAAAATTCTCGCCATTATTACTTAATGGACCCTGCCTTTGACTATCTCCGAGCAAACTCAGCATTTGAATTCTTATGTGGGAATTACTGAACAGTTTTGACCGAGCCATTTCTCAAGCACAATTCATATGATTCCTTTGCGGCCGTAAATCAAGAACTTTTAAGTAACCGTTTAAAATCAGTACTGAGGCCGCGGTGATCTCGGGTACTTCCTTGTGTAGGCTGCTGCATGATGAAGGCGCAATATCTTTGGGCGCGAACGCGGTCTCATTAGCCGCAGAGCGCAGGAGGCGCAGGATTTACAACGATGAATACACGCGCGTGCAGCGTTCGCACCCGCAACTGATACTGCTTCTGCGCTTTCGTCATCTTCATGTGAGCAGAGATCTGATATTGATTATGAAGCTTGCTTTACCTTGATGCTTTTTCAAAGTTATGTTGATTACACTGAAAGTTTCTTTAGTCTTATGATATTGAAAAGCTCTTGACGAGTACCTCGAGAGCGAAGGAAGATAGCAGAGCAAGAAAGATATTGACCAAACAATGCACAAATTTTTTGGAACATTGTATATTAAACCAAATTCTAAGTCCCATCGTAAATGAATCTTGGTATGTTTTTTTAGGTTCTCTAGTAAGTGTTAAGCTAAGGTCATGATTGTTACACGAATTTATTAGGCTGACATTTCGGCGTCTCCGCTTTTTTCGAAGCCTGTAAGGACGAAAAAATTTGTAATCTATCCTTCCAAAAGGGCCAGGCATACTTCACGCGACTTCAGTCGCGACGCGATCTGGCAATATTCCAACTGTCCATAACTCACTATAAACACATTTTAGATGTACAAAAGATAGGGCATCTTATCAATTCGTGTAAGTTATACACACTATGCCTTTGCAGTTTGCCAATGTTGGATCTGAAGACTTCTGGCGAATTGCCAAATCGCGTCCGACTGAAATCGCGTGAAGTATGCCCGGCCCTCAGTGATGCTTTAAGTCGCCACATCGTTTGGTTCATCAGCACCTTCATTTTGTAGCTTTGCAGTCAAGAGTAGGCAACCACCCAAAGTGAAGCGCCGTTGTTATGTTATTGATATATACAAATCAATCCCCGCCTTGATTCGACCCTGACCTAGTAGGCCGGTACCCACAAAGGGCCTGGAACGGTGCTAGCTCGTTTGAACAGCGATGCATTCTTCTTTTCTTTTGATTTTAAGATTTCGCGAAACAACTCAAACTCTTAGAGCGTTTTGCGAGCAATTGTTTGGTGTTCGTGCGATAAAATTGTGACAGCCGTATCGAACGTGGCATTTTCATGCTGATGAATTGTGTATTTCATTCAAGCAACGAATAAGAGATACAGAGATAGATAAGAAGTCCTCTGAGGTGCATATGGGCTATTCCACCTCAGCGTTGCTCATTATGCCTATACGTCGTTTGGTCTGAACTTCAGTCATAGTGTGCGACGCACAATATGGCTGACCCACAAACATAACCTTTGATTCAAGTGGTCTGGCTTCGGGAAGGCGGAGCTCTGTGGCCTAATAGAGGCCGCTCGCGCCCGCGATGCAGTCTGCGTCTCTTCCGCGCGAGTGCTCTCTGATCATTACCTAGCTTTAATTAGGTCACGAAGCTCCGCCCTCCCGAAACCAAGCCAGTTGCAAATGGTATAAGCCAGTAAGAATGGTCATTTTTTTTTGCTAAGATCTCACTGCGTTATGCACATAAGGTAGTGTCCTACTGGTTTTAGCTGATTGACTGTTGTATCGGACCTTTCTTCATTTAAATGCTTCCATTCTTATCGTTTGTGTTCACTCACTGATTTACTGGTACTTTTTGCTGGCGCATTAGGTGCAATAATAGATAAAAATAAAATAAAAAAGGCTTAACAACTGGTTTGTTGCGAGAGTTTAGCTTGAATAAGATTTGATTTGAGATGACGATTCGTGAAGATCTTGGACCTGATTGAAAAGAGATGGGGCTCTTCTGGATTATGCTCTCAAGACTCATGATTCGCTTCATCGCAAATCTTCGTAGTTATGAAAAGCATACTTTTAGCTTTTCAAGCAAACTCAAATTTTATAACTCTTTTCAAAAGCCAGACTAGATTATGTGCACTTCCTTGTCAGTTAGGAGGTACGTCATACCGCCCCTGGTCAGTAGTTTAGCGTGTTTGGTCAGATCAAACTTTGTCTTCGATTAGGTTCAGCAACTTTTGAAGGTTTAGTTCGATAATGTGATATCAATGAGCATTACATGATATTGAGTTAAAATTATCTGGATTTTTTAGCATATCTTCGGTTGAATTCTTCATTTGCATTATGTTATCTAACTTTGAGACAATTTTACGATGGCAGTCATACTGTTGGAGTGATTCCTAAATTTCAAGTTTTTTTTATTATTTATTTTATCTCAAACGCAAACGCGTGCTCTCAAGAATTCAATAGAAACAGATGCAAGGCAGAACTTGAAGACAGGAAAAAGAGAAAAAGTAAATGAAACAAACGAGAAAATTAGTTTTTTCCGTCGACAAGGTTACTCATGTAGGGTCAAACACATAGATGGCATTAGGGATGAGCTAAATGACACTTCGCCAAGTTAGGTGGTTTAAAGGATAATCGTCGATGACCGCCCCGTTTCGTGCATTTACACCACCGAAGGCGCGCCATTTTGGAGTTCCATCTTGACAGTACGCTGCAGCGCGCGTGGACTTGGTAGTGCGCAGCATTCCTGCCCTTTAACCTCTTTTGTTGATTTAAGCATTTCACATCGTTTTTTCTTCTTATTTTTCATTTCAGGCCATCAGCCGTTCTAATGTCTATGTCATCGCCGCGAACGAAGTAGAGAAAAGAATAACCCTTAACAGTTGCAGTGGCGGATATCATGGCTGTGACTGGGATTGCATGTTTCCTTCAATGTTTTGTTATGATTTAACATGTTGCCTAGGACAGACCACTGAAGTGATTACGTCAGCAGTCCTACATCAGGGACACCATGTAGGAGTGCTGGAAAAACATTAGAATGGCTTCATCTAACAATAAGTAAAATCATGGGATTATGGGCAACGTACCTTTGCCCCTGGATGTGAATTAGACAGTCAGCATGTAGAGAGCGAAGGCCCGGCAAATGGAGACACCGTCGGCGCTTGCCGGCATAGCCAAACATTCACATTGGTAGGAACCACTACTGTACCCACCCATCGAACCCTCAATCTGTACACACCTGCTAGGCCCACTAGCTCCACCAGCAACAGAGGCCAATGTCGTATTTTAAGCACAAGAGTTCAACAAGATGGGCGATGTGGAAACGGGAAGTATGAACGTTTGACTTAGGCATGCTTCAAGCTTAATAGTGCACCAAAATAGACTAACAATAAGAGATACGGTAACCGAGCGTTAATCGGGTAGAAGTTGATCAGCAGCTATGGTGTAGACAGAAAAGAAAAGGGAAATCAGGGTGATAACAGTTCGCGATTTTAGCCAAATAGAAAAAGAGTTGAATCGACACATCAAAGTTCAAGAGAAAAAGAGGGAAAACCCTTTTGGCTTTTACCAGCTGCACAACCTAGAATGAATATAATGACCATCATCAATACGATCTCTGACACCAGAAATTGCGAGATCGATTCCATACAGAGGAGTAGTAAGCAATGTTTACCTCGCACTTCCCTTTGATTCAATAATCAACAAAAAATGAAGAGGACTTACGTTGGCTAAAAATTCATCAAATACAAATTCCCGGTTTCATTGAAAGACGTCGAGTAGCTTAATATCAAATGTGTCTGCCGGTACAAGACCGTCTGTTATAATCACTTGTAAATAAATGACAATTCCTTGTTAGATTAAACAAACTGATTGCTTCAGACAATGTTTGAAAGGTAAAGTGATAACATTATATCTATGGTAAAAGTGAGGTCCATTCAAACAAATCTTTTTTAGTTCAACATCTTTCCACATTTTCAAATAATCTTAAATCACTGCCATCGGACATTTTTGAACATTTCACCTACATCTGTTGTAGATGTCATTCTCGTCTTCATAATCTCGCTTGTGCAAGGATTCCTCTATAACGCTCCTACTTCATATTAACGCTACTCATCAACTTGGCGGCAGGTTTAGTTACCCAATATTCTGATTGCATCAAGTGGAACGGCAAAGCTTAGCCGCGGAAATCTACTTTGGTCACGACCATGAAAGCCTACTATGGATCCAAAGTTAAACTTGTTGAGATTTAAGAACTTAAGTGCGAAAATACGGGTACGGGTTGGGTAGTGGTTAGCACTTACTCCATGAAGAACAAGAAAAGATCAGCTGTTATCGCGCAAGCTTCAGGCCCCGGACAGACTTGACAGACTTCACGCGATTTGATCGTCGCGACTCAATCGCCGACATTTCCATTCATTTTCATTTCACATTCAAAAATTTCGGGCTGGAAAAGTATCACAACTGAAATGCAAGTTGATCGGCATGGAATGATGTTGTAACAGTTGTCTCGTCGCGATTCAGTCGCGACGATCAAATCGCGTGAAGTCTGTCCGGGGCCATAAACGATAGAGATGAGAATGTCATACTACCACCACACGTGTAGGTTGGAAAGCTGAATAACAGTAAACTAGAACGGCCACAATGTCCGAACTTGTCGCGAGTCGCGCGGACGGCCTCTTGGTTGCGCATGCCGCGCTAATATTGTCCCTCAAAAACTCTCCGGTGCTAAAATGGCGGGCATAGGGCGAGGATGGAGAGTGGCGGGAAATACATGCTTCGATGTCACAAGTAACCTAACGTCGAGAGTGCTGGCGAGAGCAGACTCTTGGACTGGGAATGTCAATTCACGGCAAAACCTCGCTGGAATTTCACACAGATGTAAGCCATGACCGTTCCCAACTAGACAAAAAGTTAGCTAAAAGAAATATTTCTGAATGGACACTACTTGTATGGATGGATGATGTTATCACTTTATCAAAGCATTATTATGGGAAGTCCTCTGTTCAGTTCAGTCAACAAAGGGTGGTCATTTGATCACAAGTGGTTATAACCAGACGGTCATGTACTGGCAGACACTTCCAATCCTCGGCTCAGTATGCTCGTATCACCAAGACTGGAAGCCATACTTGATGCAATTTCACTTGATGTAAGTCTTTTCAGTGCTGATTATTGAGTCAAAAGAGCGGAGCAAGCGCTTTTGAAGCCAATTCTAATGTTTCTATGTCTGAAATCGATCTCACGATGAGCACATCTCTTCCAATCACGCCGATTCAACCACTGATCATTAGCAAAAGCCAGGAGCCTTTACAGCACGCCATTCTTCAGCTGAGATAGAAAAATCAAAGCCGGCTCAGGATTCATTCCGTCCGTGACTTCTACAGATCGCAAAACGGTCCTGATTTAGGAAACACCGAGCGCGTGATGGTTTCAACCCTTACAAGAGGAAACTGAAGCTGAAGATTTGAAGTTTTACCAGTTGATCCAATGTAATGCTCATTGATAATGCTCACACAGTGTATAGGTGTTATAAACCTTTGTTTGGAAGGTTACTGGACATAACCAAAGACGAAATTGATATGAGCAGACCAGACCCCTCTTCGATCTCTCAGAACGCCTAAAACAAGTAAAGTGCTGGACGAAGCAAGATGGGAGGTTCTTTAATTTATTTGATACATGGCTGCAGCGTAACATTCTTGAGTAAAATTTTTGTCTTAACCCATTCCAACTATAGAATTCAAAGGCAGTCTCTGGGCAAAACTCGACTTTTAGAAAATTCAATTACTGAGGGTTATCCGCAACGTGAATCCGAAAATCCATATTAGAAGGTGCGAAAACGGCGAGAAAATGCGTTTTTCAAAGCCTTACAATTTGAAATTCGACGGTTCCCGCCAAGGCTGAGATGCAGAGTCGCTGCGGGACCGTACAATTCCGCACAGCAGGAAAAAAAACGTCGAAGGGTCCCCACCACAAGGCGTAAGTTTTCCCACTTTCCGATAGTTTTTCTTGCTTTTAGGTCGAGCGTTGTAACCTCGCACTTGCGCGATGCTGTATCTGAGGGGGGGGGCACTTTCGCGTAGCGAAATCCCAAGAACCCCCACCTTGTTCAGACACTGCCTTTCAAGTTCCGGCTGCGTCTCTTTTCGGATGCGAAAAATTGAATTCGAGATAGCCCCCACTGTAAGTTTCTAGACTGAGTAAGAATGGTCACTGAAGGTCAAGCTCAAACCATTGCTTTTCACACATATCTAGACGTTACCAACAATTTCAACTTCAATCGCAGGTTAATACTTGCAAGGAGTGGAATGTGAATCGCGGCGTTCACTTATGTTGGCTCTGAAACGGGAATATTTTCGAAAATGCTCTACTCGGTTGCATTGCGACATCTTTGGGCAGTTGCTGCAAATCCGTGAATGTATATAATGCCAACTACAATACTGATAAAAAATTTGAAACTGTCTGTCAAGTTTGCCAAAAAATCGTGAGTAAGAAAAAAGCGTCGTTGATCTTTGATGAAAATCAAAAATTCTTACTTTTGAGTTCGAGCACAAATTTTGCCGAAAGATGTGTTATTAAACAGTTGTGACGGCATTTGTTTGCATGAACACTGATCAGGATCAAAGAGAACTCAAAAAAAAATTTGTTTCGGTATGTATGCCTGAGCAATGATTTCTTAAGCTTCGTTTTGCTTAGGTTTTGATTTTTATATTGAGTTCCATACCACTATCTCTGCTCCAGTCAGACTTGCCGTTTTCGAAAATTACTTACGGCAGAATTACTGCCAAAATCAGTTCTTTTTCGTTTTCTTCCTCATATAAAAGAAAAAATACTCAAAATATTTGCTTGAGAAAGGTGCGCACGATAGCTACAAGACATTACCGTAAAAATCAATCATACCAAAAGCCATCGCTGTATCTCATAATGACAAATAATTGCAACGTGGAATTACGGAAGGTCTGAATTAAAGAAAGAGAATTAGATTTCAACTTATAGACACAACATAGGCTCGGGAGTAGATGTAACAAGATGACAAAGGATGTATTCAAGCATCCATTCGGAAAATTTTTTGACCACGCTTATAAGTTTTAAGTTTGATAAATTTGTGTGAATTTGATAAGTAGTTATAAAACTGAAAATTAGAAGGGTATTTTTTTAGTTTTCGAAACCTCAGTCTTTTCTCCATCAGTTGTAAACTTTGGAAGAAGGCCTCTAAGACACACATAAAGGGCATGGCAGGCTTATTGCAGTTTTTGCTGTTAATGAGCCAAAGTGCAGGAAAACTCTCAAGACACAAGTTATAAATATCTTGACATACCAGAATAACTCGTACACGACGCCTAGCTGGAAGACAACCACGCAGAGAGACAAATGCTCGGGCGGGATTTGTTGTGATATTGCAGACCACGTTTGTTTTATATGATGCCTAGCAATGATAACAGAATTCTAAGTACCAGGTTTTATAGGTAAAGGAAATTCTTGCAGCAACCATATGAGTAGGAGGAGAAAAGAGTGGATATGAAGTGACAAGAGATTGAATCATATTTACAACCATTCAGAGAAATAAGGCAACCAACAGCTGATCATTTGTTCCTTGCTTTTCTAGTTTTGATGCTTTGAGAAACCTTCGCGTCGTAAGGTTACTATAAATTGCTAAAGTTTAAGCTCTTCAAAGAAAATGAAAAGCTTTTACATGCCCCTTTGCTTGTCTCGCTTTTATGATCCATTATTACACAGAGAATTGTTATTTCGGAATAGGCTTTCTTTTCCAAAGCATAACTTGGCATAAAAACTGAGAGCTGAACTCGAGATCATGCAATCGAGCTTAGTTTGAGCTTGAAATCCACAAGTACGCCAGCAAAGCGAATGTTTTGGTAGAGCAATAGTTAGAAAATTTCAAGGCTCATTTGCATCAGTAATCACAAGAAAAATTGAGATTTGCCTGAATGAAAGCTGCGAACTAGCGACTTATGATTTTTTTTCAAAAATATTGGCAGGCAGGAAAATACTAAAAGTTCTCAAATCTTAGTGATGTACCTCTAGAAAGAGCTTCTGAACTTTGTAGAAAAAAAAAGCTATCTGCGTTGCAGCAAACTGCAACGAAATATCTCAACCAGATGTTCTGCACCTGCAGGAGGAAAATGTAATTCAAACTTTGAAAAAAATGCGCTAAGGCTAGGAACTGCTCACTTCAAGCGAATAAGGATCAGCATTCAAAAAGCGGAGTAGAGGTCAGCACTTAACTATTCTTGGTAAAACATTTCTTTTGAACAGTAGCGTATATCACTTATGAATAGAAGAAGAAATGACAGAATAATCATTTTACGTGGGGTCCAGGGTACCTTTTTTGCGAACATTTACATAAAAAATTTTCAAGTAAATTAAGAAAACATTTATTTATGAAGTTTTATTTACAGAATTCCTGAAGAAACAACCGCAAGAAAATGATGATATAGATAATGGAATAATTTGATCGAAACATATAAAAGTGTTGTTTCGACCGCAAAGAAACCCGATTACACCGATTTTATCCAAACCCACACTGGAGAAGCACAAAGATTAACGAGCTGTCTGTTCATGGATTGTTATTTGAAGCCCGACGGAAGAAACAGTTGCTTCGTTTTTTTTCTTACGATGAGCTTCCTTTACTTACAAATCGCAAAAGGATGTATCAAAGGATAATGGTGTTTCTTTCCGGACGCAATAATGGGGAAGCATCTGGCATTTATCAACGAAAATTTACGTAACGTAAAAAAATTTTAAACAAAGGAAAAAAACATTTTGACAAATTAAAACTGCAATTTAAACAAAAAAAAAACGCTAAGTTTCAAAATAAGGGATGAGTCGTTTCAATAAATTAGGAATAGGTTTGATAAACAATGATTAACTAGCTCCTGATTACATAAAGAAAAAATCTTCAAAATTGAAGGGCTATGAATATAGGACGGAAAGCCCTAAAAATCAAAATTGAAGGGCCATAAATTTAGGACAAAAAATCCAAAAATTTTGTGTAAGAGTTCATAAAGATAAGAAAATTATTCAGAAGTGCAGCTTGGTTGACAATCCACTTAAAACAAGGTAAGAGGGCGGAACAGCAGTAAAATGAATAGCCCATAGGACCTTTCAGTGCTTTAAAGCTGTTCTATCAGAACAATCATGACTGTCTCAGTGATCAGCGCAAATCGCAGATCCCCCGCGTAGAGGCATTGAAGAAAAATGCCTGAGGCTCGGAATAGCGCTGTTTTTGAAGAGATTCAGATTATCCGCTAGCATTTGCCGTGTTAAACTTCACCCACGCGCATGGCTCTGCTGGCTGCCGCCTAACAGCCCGTTAACGTTTTCGCATACACAACAACAGGTAACGCATGCGTCCTGCATATCACCTGAGAGAAGGGGAAGAGAAAAATCGAAAAAAGTAAAGAGCAAGAGAAGGCGGGGCAGAGAGTAGGTGGAATGCATCAAGGCTTTGAGTCATGAATTGATATTTGAACCCTGGTGCATTTTTACGTAGGTCCGAATTACTCACTGAGATTATAGAAAACGGATTGTTTATAAGACGCAAGCCTTCTTATGTTTCCTCCTAGCTCGAAAGAAGCATTTTGCTCAGCTCACCGAGGTCAAGTTAATTTTTTAGTATATCGCCTTAGTAATCCTCAGTACGGTAAGCGTACGGTAACATATGGATTTCTTGCCTCTGAAGGAGGGAGGGAAGGAAGTGCTCGACTTCTGAACATTAAAGTAAGGTCCTATACTCATACCCACGGTGGTTTTAGTAATAAAAAGGAGGCTAGTTTAAAGCTAGCTAATGAAAGAGAGGAACAACGGCATCTACGACATTATCGCAGCATGTTCGCACTTGGTTAAACCACCCAGGACCCAACTCTCCCCCCCCCCTCTACATGGAACTATAGGCGGGTGGAGGACTATATGTCGCCGATTGTGGAAGAATCCCGCGCGGATTCGTTGCAGGAACGCATGTCCGCGCATGTACAAGAATGCGTATTTGTCGCAAATGACCGCGGGGACCGCCCTTTTTTGGCGACATATTGTCCTCTACCCACTTTAGGCAAATGGGCTAATCGCAAAAGAATTCATTTTCTACCGTACACCTATCGTACCCCGAGCATTGCGGGGGTAAGTATACCAATAAGTTTGCTTCGATCAGGTGGGCACAACGCTTTTTGGGATCCTGAATGCGTGCATTCTGAAGGAGGTTATGGCGAAATCCCAAGAACTCCGAGGAACTTCCGCAGTGCCCGATATTCGCGACTTTCGCAAACATTCATGGGATTTCGCAGAGTTTAAAAATTTTCGCGGAGTTTCGCGGAAGTCCGCGGCATTCACTGAAATTCTGCATTTTGTGAACTGTATTAAAGGAGTCCGTAAGTTTCTGTGCTAATTGCGCAGTGTAGTAAGTAAAGGATGAACTATAAGATGATGGAATGACTCTCTATTTCTTTCTTTTATTTTT